GACCATAATTTTGACAATCCCCTATATAACCCTATAAAGCCCCTTTAAGGAGTTGAGATTATAGCTCAGGTAAACCCGAAACCGCGCATCTCCTCTCTGGACTGTTTGATACCAGCGCAGGGGCCCATATCCTGTCGGTTTAGGGTTTGGGGTTTAGGGTTTAGGGTTTAGGGTTTAGGGTTTGGGGTTTGGGGTTTGGGGTTTAGGGTTTAGGGTTTAAGGTTTAGGGATTAGGCCTCATGCGGTGGAGCTTCTTTAGTTTCAAGATGGCTCTGGAAATTTTGAATATCTCGTACTGTAGGTACATGAGGATTATGAGGGCAGATATGGTTGGCTTTCCCAAGCATTCATCGTTCACTCCTCACGGGTTTCCCCAAGTGCTGGCAAAACGCATGAAGTTGCTATAACTATAACTTGTCTAGCATCTCCCGGTTAACAAAAAGGGCTCTCTTTTTTGGATATAGCCCCCTATATAATCCCTAAATAAACCTATAAAATAGTAGTTTCCATTTACTTTTCCATCATCCCTATGTAGCCCCCTATATAATCCCTATAGTTCTGTAAGGAACCTAGGGCCCCAACAATAGCAAAGGGCCTAACTCGTTCGCTGTCTTCATCTAGAGCTATGATCGGAAGACTCGGTCTGAGGTTGTTACACTCCCCCAAATTAACATGGAAACCCATATAGCCCCATTTTAGAAGTACTGTAGTCTTTATGGGGCCTTTTTTGGGTTTCCATGTTAGTTTGGGGGAGTGTAATATGTTCAGAGCTGGATACTTTCACGACCAGCTTGGAGCTCAAGGCTCATTATCATGACTGTGTACAGCAAGGGCATCAAACAGGTCATGCAATGATCAGTACTATGGCTGCTCTGCCTACAGCAGCAACTGCTACTGCAAGTGACTGCTCCTGCTCTTTCTCCTCCCCTTCCTCCTCTTCCTCCCTCTCCCCTGTATGCGTTGCTGCCGCTTCTGCTGCAACCATTGCTACAGTATTCTCAGGCAAGCACTCACATAACCCTATAAAATCATAGTCTCCATTTTCTTCTCCATTATCGCTATATAGCCCCTTGTAAAATCCCTATATGAACCTAAAGAAGTAATTTCCAGTTTCTTTTTCATTGTCCCTATATAGCCCCCTATATAATCCCTACATAACCCTATAAAACAGTAGTTTCCTAAACCCTAAACCCTAAACCCCAAACCCTTAAACCCCTAAACCCTAAACCCTTAAATGGTATAGTTTCCATTTTCTGTTTCATTCTAACGCCCTGCAGCACCTGGAGAGCTGCGCAGCCCTCAGTGCGAGCCGCCATCTCCTCTCATCGGCCGCCACGTAAGCCTAAAGTTGGGTACTGTTTAGGGTTTAGGGTTTAGGGGTTTAGGCTTTAAGGGTTTAGGGTTTAGGGGTTTTTTGGGTTTAAGGGTTTGAGGTTTAAGGGTTTAGGGGTTAGGGTTTTGGGGGTCCCCATAGTAAGGATTATAATATGTTCGGGACTATATTGGGGTACACATATTTATGAAAACTACCATATAGGGTGTATATCAGGTGTAGAGGTAAGACAGGTATAATAGGAATTTAAAGGGGCACGAATACAACCACCATTATCCCTGCGTGTGTAGGTGGTTTCGTTACTGTGCTTGCTCGTGCCCTTGTATATATTGATCCAATTTTTCTCCTTCTCATCAACCAATAATCAAGAATCTGGGCTGCTGTTAAGGAACTTAAATTGATTTACCATAATGGGTATATATATATACAGGAAATGAAAAGGTTTCCAAACTATAGTAACTTAAGTTAAGTTCCGTAACCCTAAACCCTAAACCCCTGAACCCTAAACATTAGAAGGCCCTAAAAACTAAAGCCTACATCATACACCACTATAGTAACTTAAACTGAGTTCCTTAACAGCATCCAAGAATGTCCCAAGACAAAGGATTCCGTGATCCTCGGGCTTAGGGTTTAGGGTTTAGGGATAATGGAAAATGAAATGGACACTGCTATTTTATAGGGTTATATAGAGGGCTATATAGGGATAATGGAAAAGAACGTGGAAACTACTACTTAGGGCATGATTACCTGACAAGTTTGATTTTTCGGACGCTCTGGCAGCTTTGAGTGACCATTCGGCTTATTCTTGTGACATCTTCAGCATAATTAAGTTTGCAAAAGAAGCAAACACGTAGTTTCCATGAATAGGGGGACCCCAATTTAGACCTCCCAAATGCGACACTCCTTGTTAAAGGGACCATTATTCATGGAAATCCCCCAACGAGTTCCCCTAAATCCTAAACCCTAAATCCTAAACCCGAAGACAGATAAGGGCACTGCGCCAAGGCCACCAGCCACTCCCAACGCAGTGCGCACGGGGAACCGGCGCAGAGTGCGGAAGGGCGCCAAGGACTTCATTGCAAAATGCGTGCGAGCAATGTGTACAGTTTTAAGGTTAAGGGCTTAGGGTTCATGATTCTGGGTTCTAGTCATCGAACTGATGATGGACAACAACTGCAATGCCATACATGATGTGAAATGGGCTTTCATTGATGAGTTACACCTGCCGCTCAGTGGAGAGGGTTAAGTCTCTTGCATTTAGCATGCTGGCTCCCAATCTATTTCCATATCTACCTCGGAACCTGAATGCCTGTCAAGGAAGAGGACAGAGCTATGGAGGGCTAAGCCATTTGCCCCACCAAAGTGTGAATGTGCTGAACACTAGGACACCCACAAGCAGATCCTACGAGTCCCGGCCCAGACCACCCTGGATGAACAGAACTAACTTCCAATAGCAACTGGCAGTAACCTGCCGCCTCAACATGCACCGACGCTTATGGCATCCCAAAGCTCTGTGGACGCTACCTGAGATTTTTTTGGTGGTTAAACCTAGTAGTAAGATTATATTACTTATATAAAATACTATACCCCAAAAGGAGTTCGGTACCATAGTATCCGCAAATAAAATACTACTCACCTCAGCATGTGCATGCGGACTGGATCCCGCAGTGTGGAGTCTGATCGGCGCGTTCGGAAAAGAAACACTGCGATTCGAGATAGCCGAGCCACCCAGTAAGTCCACGAAGGGCACACCAATTACAACCCCTGCGATGTCTGAAGCATTGAAACAGAAAAGGCATGCGAGAAAAAGCGAGGCCGAGAGTGAGTGAGAGGAGAGCTTGCATTGGCTGGAGTCCTTGGCCTTAACTTCGGTAGCATCTAAATCTTAGCCTCAGGGAGTCCTTCTGCTTACGTTATATGGGTCTGGGGTTTAATGGTAAGGTTTAGGGTAACGCTGAAGCGTTACAACAAAGCGTCATGTTCAAACCCAAATGATCTATATCGGGTTCACGCATACACAACAAGTTAAACCCCTTGTTCAGCAACAGTCCTTTCTTTATTCCCAGTCGTTAAGTTGCCCAGGCCAACAAAAATCTACACTTGCTTGCTCATAAACATAAGAGCATTACAGGAAGAAGTGAAGGTGCACCTTCCTGTCTGCTCGATGCTTGCTACGAGGGAAGTACCCAACCTACCCGTGGGCCCTAATAAGCCCTACGCTAAACCCCAAACCCCAAGCCCAAATTCAAAGCACAGTAGCAGCAAGCAAGCCGGGCAAAGCTCGGGGGTGGCGAAGACACCCGTGCCTCCAAAAAGCAGAGTACGCTGAAAAGGCGGTTTAGGGGTTCATGGGGTTAAGGGGTTTAGGGTGTAGGGTATGGGGGTTAAGGGGTCATGACTCATTACCCCCTGGGGCTTAGAGTTTAGCATGGAATTAGGTATCAAAAAAAAAACGGATAGGCAGGGGTATATGATGTATGGAAATTGTTGGATAGTGCAGGGCAAGATGTAAAAGAACGTGGAAAAACATACAAACTGGGATGATGCTTGGACTTTGCGTGCATGGGCTACAGTCAGCTCCCTAAACTCTGAACCCTGAACCCTGGGGATAAGAGGATGCTACCTGGTTATGGCTTCGGTGGTCTTTACCTAGGCTTAGAAGGGACTAGGGCTAAGGCCTACGGGTTGTCAGATCAAATAACAGTTTAAAACTGCACTACTGACAATTGGAGCCCTGCATGATCTGAGTATACTAGAAGAGCATAATTTTCGAGGTCGTAGCAGGCACTTAGGGCCATGCAGGCTTTTTGGTATCAAGCGGACGGTTTAGTGTTTGGGTGCTTCGGGTTCCGGGCCGATTCTTCGGAGACCACCTGGATCTCCTCAGGGAGCTTGAAACCAATGTGAGCCCTTGTCCGAACTCCTAGCATCCCCATTAATAACCCCTATCATGCTCCCCTATCTAACCGCCTAAACCCTAAACCCCAAACAAAGAGGGTTGTATAATCCCCTATATAAGCCCCTTTAAGGAGTTTGGGCTATAGCTCATATATTGTCATTCACGCAGCCATGCGAGCCGTAGTCTTAATTCCTAGTATCCCCCACTAATAATCCCCCTAAGACTCCCCTATATCATCCCCTATGTAACCCTCTTAAAGGAATTTAGTCTATAGCTCATGCAGGCTTACGGGTAGGTTTTCGTCGCGCTGCAGGCGGATGCATTATATAGGGTTCAGGCTTGTTTACCCCCAGCAATGGAGAATCAAATGGAAAAGGCAAATGGAAAATGAAATGGAAACCGGGGGTTTAACGGTAGTTTCCCTGAATAGGGGGACCCCAATATAGTCCCCCAAATATGACAATCCTGCTTATAGGGACCCACAAAAAGGATCCAAACTTTTGGAAAACCTCCATTTCTCAGCATCTCTTATACGATGGTGTGGGCATTCTATACAGGCATATGCAGACATGTATGTTTTCTGCAGGAGCTGAAAGAATGCACGACTCTTGGCAACACGCGTATATGAAGAATGCTGCCAGAAAGGGGGATCCTTGATGTAAGTTTCACACACAGACCGCATCACACAGCGCTTTCTGGACACATTTGCAAGGTTGGCTCTGGGGTTTACGCGCAATGCTTCAGCATGCCACCATGCAAACGAGGAAGCAGGGAGTCACGTCATCATCATATTATCGCGTGAAGTCAGCCCAGCCCTAGCATGCCCAGGCAGCAAGTGATCTTAGCATCGAGCCATGCGACCTGTGCTTCAGGGAGGTCACGGAGCCAGTCATCAGGTAGCATCGAGTAGCCCAGCCGCACGCCAAGTAGGGCGCCAGCCACGGCAGCATTGGAATCTGCATCCCCTGCTTCCATGGTAATAGCCTGAATGGCATCCTTGAAGCTATCAAGATGCAGGAATGCCCAGGACGCAGCGCCCAAAGGCTTATATGTGTAACCTATGCCTCCTGATCCAAGCTTCAAGTCTCCAAGCCCATTGCTGTTGACGTCCACGTATTGAAAGAGCTCGTCCACATCTCCACCATCCAAGTAGCCGCTTGCCTGCAGAGCCACGGACAGCAGGAGCTCGCGACGTTGACTGTAACTGTCAGTGCTGTGTCCCGACAATAACTTAGAAACAACCAGGGCAATGCACACACAACTGGCCAGGCATCTTGGATCCGCGTGGGTAATCGAAGCAGAGACTGCTGCATTATGCCGCACTACGGCTTCATCCCAGAAGCAGCTTAACCCAGCTGCCGCACATCTCATGATGGCACCATTGGCTGCCAGAGTGCAACCACACTCGCGCCACACAACATCGGCGGCCACGCTCGGGGCCACACCAAATGCGGGATGTTCCAAGACGGACCTCACCTTACTTGTGCTACAAGGATCATGGGTTCCCCCACTACCCCCTACGATACCCCCCCTAGGTTCCCGCAATAAGTAATGCTTTTTAGGAATAATTAAGATTAATTAAGAGGAACCTAAGGGGGGGAGGGGTAGTATAGAGGGGGGTAGCAGGAGAACCCATGAAGGGAGAGTGGGAGTGGATCCTCACAATAATACTACCTCTAGAACTCCTACAGGTACCCCTAAAAAAATCCCTTCACTCTCCCACCCTAGCCTAGACCCCTAACCCTACTTTCCTAAACCCCTTGCCCTAAAGCCTATATTCCTCAACCCTTTGAACCCTAAAACCTAAACCCTGTATTCTTAGACCCTGTTTAACCCTAAACCTTATCTTACAAAACCCTGCATTTCTAAACCATTTGGGACGCTATATTCCTAAATAAACCCTATCTAGACCTAAGCTTTAGTCTAAACTCCCAGTGTGTCCCCTCATAACACCCAGAATACTTCCCTATATAACGCGCCTTAAGAAGTTTAGACTATAGCTCGAATAGCCCTAAACTCTAAGCTCTAAACCCTACACCCTAAACCTACACCCTAAACTCTAAACCCTAAAACCTAAACCCTAAACCTTCAAACCTCAACCCTACTTAAGCACCAGTAAGTCACAGTTTGTCCAATCCCCAGGCCCGAAGAGTCACCGAGCTCTGGGAATCCGAACTTCGACCATGCCTAGGTCGTTACAAATAGGGTTATAAGGGTTTAGGGTTAAAGGTTTAGGATTTAGGGTTTGGAGATTCAGGGGTTAGGGATTTAGGGTTTTAGGGGTTGAGGGTTTACGGATTTAGGAAATAGGGTTTAGGGATTTAGGGTTTAGGGGTTGAGGGTGTAAGGGTTTAGGGTTACAAGGGTTCCGGGTTATAAGGGTTTAGGTTTGTAAGGGCTAAAGGGCTAGGGGTTTAGGGCTTCGTGTTTAGGCCTTAGGGTTTAAGGGTTCAAGGTTTAGAGCTAAGTGTTCAGGGTTTAGCGTCTAGGGTCTGAGAACTAGGCTTCAAGGGACTGTGGGTCCCTTTATAAAGGGAATATGCAGGGACAGATAGAATTTTATGGGGATGTCTAGGCATGTAGAAATTATGTAGGGGCATGGAAAAGAGAATGGAAGCTATTTAGGGCTTGCGGTTTAGGATGGGTCCTTGCAAGCACGTGGGGATATGTGGCAGGAATGGAACAGAACATGGAACTAATCTAATCGTGGAAGTAGGTGTTAAGGGGTTAGGTAGGGTCATTCCGGCTAATTACAATAACTGTCCTCAAAGGAGTCTTCTTACTCAGGAGCTAGTAAAACTCCGATTACCCATTTCGACAACTGCTAAACTGAAGCCACGATGACAAAACCCTTATGACTGTACTTGAAGGCTCATGGGGCTCAGTAACTGCATTATGACTGGCTAGTAATGTCCCTCTAATTGCACTTATGTAGGGTACCCCACTTATAAGTAAGGTTATGAGCCCAGCTATACATAGCTATCAAGTCTCATGAACTTGCAACCCTAGACCCCAAACCCTAAAACCTAAACCCTAAAACCTAGACCCTAGCCTAAAACCTAGACCCTAAACCATAAACCCCAAACCCCAAACCCTAAACCCCAAGCCCTAAACCCCAAACCCTAAACCCTAACCCCTAAACCTAAACCCAGGCCTTGAGAGCTTTGGCGAAGACATCCTCACGCAGAACCCCATCTCCGGCCACCAAGGCATCCAGGAGTAGCACCATCCTGGGGGCATTTTTAGGGTTTAGGGATTTAGGGATTCAGGGTTTAGGGTTAAGGGATTAGGGTTGAAGGGGTGAGGGTTTAGGGATTTAGCGATTCAGGGTTAAGGGTTGAGGGATTGGGGTTAAGGGATTAGGGATGAAGGCTTGAGGGTTTAGGGATTCTGGGATCCAGGGGTTTAGGGGCTTAGGGTTTGCTGTGGTTTTACACGGAACATGCAATAGACGAGCTGCAAGGCAGCGTCGAGTGCATCCCTTTTATGGCTTAGGCAGGCGCTGGAAGCTGGGAGGGCCCCAAAACCCTGGGTTTAGGGGTCTGGAAAGCCTTGGGAAGAGGCTCCGGTACCGGGCCTACCGTGGGTGATACTTCTGGTCCAGCTAGGTCATAGGCACCGCCCACCATCGTAGGTCTAAACTCCTTAAAGGGGCTTATATGAGGGACTATATATTGGACTACTGTAGGGGTGATTTAGGGGGATACTAGGAGTCTTGGGTTTAGGCTTTATACCAAAAGCTACTTAAGTCATGCATGGTACATCCTCCAGGTGGCATGGTGAAAGTCAAGAAGGACCTGAAATATTCTCTTCCCCTAATAACAACCCCCTATGGATAATCACTAAGCTAAGACCCTGGAAGATCCTGGAAAACTTCTGCTGAATCTTACTGAATACTCCACCTCAAGGAGGGTATAATCTTGCTCCTAATTATTGGGGGCTCCAGTGGCCCTCTTAAGAAAACTACTCAAACATCAAGCTAGCATCTGGTCGGTGTCATCCGTCCAGTCACCTTGAACCCAGCGCTTCCGATGCTTGTCCTCCACCTTAACGTCTTTTCCCAGAAGCTCCAAGTACCCGGGTTTAGGGTTGAGGGTCCATGTACCCAATAATTAAGGACTTGGGTTTCGGGTAATAGTAATTATAGTACTGGTTTTGGGCAAGTATATGATTATTAGGTACTTGGACCCTTAGGGTTTGTTGAAAACGAAAGAACGGATCCTGTAGTGTAATCTATACGTGGCCCATGGGTTTTATCGATTGCCCCCCGACATTCGACACCCAATATACGCATTCACCATTTTTGCCCAGGAACCTGTAAAACCGCAACTAGAACCCTGGCTCCTCCAATCCCCAAGAGGATGCTAATTTCCATTTCTTTCCACTCCTGCACTCCCTACTAACCACCCTAAACCCTGAACCCTAAACCACGAGTAAGCCACTCTGTTGGCTGGGCTGAGCCTTCTGGGCTCAGGGTAGGCTCTGGAAGCTTCGGTCTTCTCCATGAACTGCAGGATTTCTTGGGGGGAGGCCCCTTTAGGGACCCTAGGGATGTATCGGGGATATAAGCAGACTAGGGACTTCCTTACTAGAGAGTATGAATAAATACATATAAGTAAATATGCACATATATATATATGTGTATATATATATATATTCCCGGGTCCAGGTACCCAAATATTATGGCTTTAGGGTACCTACCTAAAACCCCAATGTTTAGGTACTTGGACCCTTACGATATATATATATATATGTTAATATAGTACGAAATCATCTTGAGTAACTCTCAACCTCAGTGCATAGGCCAACCGCATCTCCCAGCGCACAGCCCCAGATTAATCCTCGAATCTTATCGCAAAGTTGCTCAGCTGAAAGATCGCTGTGGACCCCAAGAATCAACTTCGGGGGATCTGCAATGGGAGGAGCGTGGGACAAAACATGCTCTGGAATAACATACTGTCCGCATATAAGCACATCAGCCTCTTCCACGGCGGCTTTGCAGATCTCCTCCATGGCTGTCTCATCCAGTGGTTGGCCCGGGCCACCATTGATACTGAAAGTTGCTTCTGGCTGAAAGCTTGCGTGCTGGAGGACGGGCAGAAGACTCTCCAAACGCCTCTGCAGCATTGCTGCTGTCCTGCTTAGATGCAGAACCTCCGTACGTGCCAGGTAGCTATCATCTGTGCCGTTCCACAGGGTCACAACTGCTGCTTGGACAAATCTTACTTCTGCCTTGCAATCGCCTGCGTTTCTGGCCAAGAATTCTTGCAGCTCTCCTTTGCAGTCAAACGCGGCAAGCTCCGCGCGTTCAAAGCCATCATCATACACAAAAGCTACCTCTGCCACGGACTCTTCCGCGATACCTAAGACTTTGCATACCAAACGGATAACCTCGGTAGGACAAGCTGCTGTCAAATCCACATAAACTGACTGTGGCTCGAAAGGCTCTCCAACGTCTGCCAGAGTCACCAGTACCTGCTGGCGCTTTGGATGAATACTGAAATACTCCCGCAAACTCATTAGCTCCTGGCCCATAACGTTCAGTCCTTCTCCATCTGGTCCTGTGCCGAAGAAGTTGTCAGCAGTGTTGCCAAACGTGATGCCCGTGCTCTTTGGAATGCTGCATAGAAGGTCACGAGCCTTTTCATGCGTCCAAAACTTTTCTAACAATGCCTGGTGCAATCTGCTGCGTTTGATGTCATCCCAATCTGGTCGTAATGGGCTCAATGTGCGCCCCAAGTGCTTTGCGATACCAGGTTCCAGAGACCTCCGAATCTGTTCCTGCAGTTGCGGCTCTTCGAACTTCCCAGCCTGAAAGTAATGCTCTGAACTTGGCCACCATTTTCTTACAGGAGGTATGGAGTCCACGCACCAGAAACCATAGCCCTGCGCAAAGCTTCGCAGGCACTCGAAGGATTCATCTGCCAAGATATCGATGGCAGGGGCCACAGCCATTGTCGCGCAAGGCTTACAACCCTAAACCCTAAACCTTAACCTGCTTACGAATCTTCTCGCGTGCGGAAGATCAACAAATCACAACCCCTAACAAATGATCCCATGCTTGGACAACTAAGGTTTAGCGTTTAGGGTCTAGAAACACCCACACCGCCCTAACAAGAAACCTCGCAAGAAATGTGGGGGAGCATCTGCTATTCCACCGTAAACCCTAAACAGCGTGGCGGGGAGGAGGGTGGGGTGGGTTGTTTCAAGGGGAAAGTGATGAGATACTGACCTGTAGACTGTAGACTTCAGCAAGGTGGTTCCTCCACTAGAGCCTTCTGGCCTCACAAGGTTTAGGTCTTAGGGCTTTGGGGTTTCGGGCCTTAGGCTGGAAGGCTTTAGGTTCAGGGGCTTAGGGTTTAGGGCCTTAGAGTTTGGAGCTGTAGTGCTTCGGGCTTTAGAGTTTAGGGCTTAGGGCATGGATGCATATAGATGTCACTTAAAAGGTGTACATCTTGGATCATGGTTTCTGCTCCACACGATTGGAAGGAACTAAAGCTGCGGCCGTCCCCTCCCCAACCTAAAGGGCCATTCTAAGGTTGTCTAGTATGGGCCCGTAGGCCCTTCACGGAGTTGTACGAACCCTCAAGGGTACACATTGGGGTATAGAAGGATCCCAGCAGTCAGGGCCCATACTACGGGCTCATGGTTTCAACCTTAGCGCCATAGTCCCAAAGCAGCCGCTACTATGACGGAAAATATGTAAGGGAAGACTCCAAATTCAAACTGACGGAGATGCGTCTTTGCATCATTGCTCCAGGCAGAAACTTTCTGAAAGAAGGGTTCATCTCTCCAAACTTGCACAAGAAAACTACCCTAAACACACCCAACCCCTTAATACGAAACCTTCCCTATAGAGTACCGTGTTATGATGAGCTGGATGAGTAGGATGAAGCTCTGTTGTTCAGCCGTACAAAGAAGCCTGCATCCGCCTGTTGCAAAGCTAGAGGGATTGCAGCGGGACGTGCATCACATGTGGGGCGTTCCTCATAGTAGGCTCCCTTTTTCGTAGTCCCCAGAATGAGGCATACCCTGCATTGGAGTCGATATTGAGCCCTCCTATCTACGGAACGCCCATGCGTCATCAGAAACATCTGCTTCCTCATGATTTTCTCAACTCCTCCCCCAAATCAGCTATAGTCCAAACTCCTAGTAACCCCCGTAATAACCCCCATAACACTCCCATAAATCATCCCCTATATAACCCCCCTTGAAGGGGTTAAGACTATAGCTCAAATCGAACCGGAATTTCCAGCAACACCCATTCGGCAGGTCTAAGTCTCGGGCATGTGCCGGGCCGTTGTGGGACAGCCAATCGTCTCCTCACAAACTAAATTGTTTAGGGTTTAGTGACTATGTAAATTGTTTAGGGTTTAGTGACTATGTAAATTGTTTAGGGTTTAGGGACTATATAAATTGTTTAGGGTTTAGTGACTACACAAATTGTTTAGGGTTTAGTGACTATATAAATTGTTTAGGGTTTAGTGACTAACGCCTCCGCCATAAAACGGCCAAAGGTTTCCGTTGGTCGCCGCTGATCTGACTAAAGTCTTGTAATTGTTCTGAATTTGCTTTTCCTGTCGTGGGTTCACTTTTACCATTAAGATTATCACTACTACTATTCTTACTACTATTATTAACGGTTATTATAACATCATCATCAGAGAGTCTGTCATGGGTTCCCTTACCAAGCCACCCTACAGTACCGCTTCTTGGATTTCCCAGCCTATTCAAGGATAAGCAACTCTAATTATGTAAGCGGAACCTTGGAAGGGTAGTATAGGGGCTGCCTGGGAAACCCGGTAACCCTGGGCGCTATTCATATGGCCATGTGTGCTGTGTACAGAACGTCTTGTCTTTCCACAGCGCTCCAGCCTCTTGATGTCATGGGTTTAGGGTTTAGGATTACAACAGCACCAACCGATTCCAAAAGGTGCCATCGAACTTGACAACAGCCACCCTTTCAAGATTCACAGCCAAGAAAAAGCCGCAATGTCATATGTCAGGATTCCCAAGTATTAAGGGGAATTCAGCTACCCCCAGGGAACTCAAGCTCCTTATGATTACTGGTATATTGTTATGAGAATTCCTAGTTTTACTATGAGTATTCTTCCTACTATTATCTTTTGTTAATACAATTCCAAAAAACCCTGAACCCCAAACCCTGAACCCTAAACCACAAACCCGAAACCCTCAACCCCAGACCCTTAACCCTGAACCCCATACCCTAAACCGCTTCGGGTGCCGGGCGTTCCGCAGGAACTTGCGGCTTCCTCGCGAAGGCTTTTGAGGTTTTAGGGTTGGCACAAGAGGGCGACACCGACTAGTAGAGAAAAAGGTGGCAACAACAGCATGGGGATTATTTTGGGGTTGTATAGAGATAATGGAAAAATGGAAACTACTATATGACAGGGTTACGGTTTAGGGTAACAACCATGAGGAGCATCACGCCGACCATCAGTCTAGTACACGGTTGCTTTCATTGCTCTTGTTTTTCTGCTCCCTGCAAAGCTTTGTCCAAAGATTGTTGCGTATGGAGGTGGTTAACATGCGCCCTAGAATCTCCGTATATTTGTCCAGATGAAGCTTACCCCCGGTGGGCTGGGGTCTACCGTGACAGTCATACGCTCTGGGTGGTCTTGTCAAAGCCGTGGTTTGACATCTGCTCCATACACAAAAAAATTCTATACCAAAGGCCCTAAAAACTCATATTTGACGGAATTCGGGCCCAAAGTCCGTATGATGCCCTAAACTCTAGACCCTGAATTCGCCTGAACCCTAAAAATTACCGATGAGTGTGGTACGCAGTGGCAAAAACTTTTGCAGAGCCTAAGCCCAAGCCCTGCACCAATACAACCACGACTTTGGATATGTTTGGGGAGGCTCCAATCTCTTAAGATAGAAACACCCCCCTAACAATATCCCTGGTGCCAACGCGCGAACATTGTGGAACCTAATGTTTACCGGAAGGAAGGCCTCGAGTTTACTTAACATATGGGTGGTTGTCAAAATTGTGGTCCCTTTTGGGGTACGTACCCTAAAAATAAGGTGCCGTACTATAGCGGGGATCCAAAAAGGGACCATAATTTTGACAACCACCCGTATACCCAGAATATGGTAAGTCAGCTTAAGTTCCTCAACCCTAAGCCCTACCCGCTAAACCAATCATTGGGGGTGCGGTCATGCCATCCCCCATTGCCATAATGTCTTGTGCATGGCTGCTCCTGGTTCAAGGCCCAAACCCTTTCCCTCCTGACTGATACCATCATTGGGTATGTTCAAAGGGTGTAGGGTTCAAGGGTTTAGGGGGTTGGGGCTTAGGGGCTTCGAGTTTAGGGTTCGAAGTCAAAGTACACAAGTTCTTGTAGGAGCTTCTCCCGCTTTGTCAGAAGACCTCTCTCTTGAAGGTCCATGGGCCTCAGTAACTACGTATAACTGGGCTTATAAGCCTAAACGAAAGTCAGGAATAAACAACAAGCAGCATCTGAGGTACCGGCACTGTCCTGACCTGCCGCATCACTGCCGCGAACAGCTACCCAAAATGCCGCCTGATCCCCAAACCTTCGGTTATTCCCTATCCCAGCAACTGTCCTAAACGGGGCTCTTTTGCCCATTGCGCTAGATAACTGTTACGGTAAGGGGGGGTGACCGTACCTAAGCGGCAGCGCATCACTCTGACTAGGTTTCAGGGCTTAAGATTCAGGCTGCAGGGGTTTAGATTTCAGAGCCTCTTCAATCTGGACTACCGACTACTCTCTGTCCCTACTACCTACCTCCTCAGAAGAAACATCTCCACACTGTCTAAGAAAGAAAATTCTGGTTCCCACAACCCTAATAATAAGGACCCTGTAACTATCATATCACTAGGTCCTAGTTTCAGGGGTTGGGGTAGTGTCTAGATACAGGCCCAGAGTTCAGGGTTTCGAATTTAGAGGGGTTAGGGAATCAAACCGCTGATGCCCTGAACCTGATTGGTCGTCCCCTAATACTGATATCAAACATGCCACCCACCCCGACTCACCCCTGTAGCAAAATATTTCCCGAAACCTATGAAACCCCTTTGTGTGGACTATATTTGATACTGGGGCAGGGAAGGGTTAACATTGGTATGGAGTGATTACTAATCAAACGATAAGTGCTACTCACTAAGATTACTATCCTCTATACATGTGTTCAAATATATGTACATACATACTGTTAATACTATGACTAACATATGTGTATATATACTATTAACTAGATCATGACTAACATTATTAATTACTGTCTTGCAGCTGAGCTCTCTCAGGTCCTTGCCAGCACGACAAAACTTGACGCCCTACAAACCCTAAACCCCAAGTTTTAATTCTATAAGCCCTACGCCCCAAACATTAAGTTCTAATCCCCAAGCCCTGGACCCGAACCCCATAACTCCTAAACCCTGAACCCTAGCCCGAGCATCAACCCGAAATCTCTTGCTTGCCGTCATGCTGCAGCTCGCTTCTTGGCGGCTCCTCTCGCCTTTGGCGCCTGGGCTCTCCCCTTCCGTTTAGGGTTGAGAGTTTAGGGAGGGCTTAAGTAATAGGTCACCTCAACTCTAAACCCAGCGCTTTCTTCAAACAACAACCATTTGCAAACGCCCAGGTCGGTGAACTTGCATCACCAAATTTTTTGCCGTGCTTGACCAGGACCTTTAGAGCCTAAACCCTAAGCCCCTAAACCCCTAAATCCCTAAACCCTAAACTCCCTCAACCATAAACAGCTCAAAGCCCGGATCATCCTTCAGGTTTCGCCCAAAACCAAGATGCAGCTGCGCGGGCTCTAGCCTACTGGCTTTCAAGCTGAAGAGAAAGAGTGGATAGGGTTAAGGGTTTAGCATTTATAGGGTTTAGGATTTAGGGTCTGGGCTTCTTCACCCTAATTCCTACACCCTAAAAGGTGAGCAACATCCTCAATGAGCATTGCTGCACCAAAGT